CGCGGGGCAGGAGGCCGCCGAGGCCGCGGCGGCGGGCGCGGGAAGCGACGCTCGCCGCGCCGAGGCCGAGGCGCGGGAGGAAGGCGCGGCGCGGAAGCGGGTCGAGACCGCGCACGCCACCGCCTTGCTGGAGGTCATGGAGCTGACGGCCGCGGCCGACGGCGCGGCCGCGGAGCGCCAGGGCCTGGCGCGGGAGCTGGCCGCGGCACGGTGCGAGGGCGAGGACCTCGCCGGCCGCCTGGCGCAGGCGGACGCGGAGAAGGCGAGTGCCGTGGGTTGGTGTGTTTTGGGGGGACGGTGGGGAGGTGGGAGGGCTGGAGCATGCCGAGCGGTGACGGTGCAGAGTGCAAGGGAGGTTCTGATGTGGATGGCCGGCCAAGCCAGCCCACGGAGGGAGGCCTCTGGGTCGGCGTGGTGCATGGTCAGACTTGCAGCCGCGCCCCGCGGTCATCGCACTCTGTCCCGCCCTCGGCCGACCACCTTTCCTTGGGCATCAGCGTGCCCTTGCCAGCCTGGCCCCCGACAACAAGACGAAACACACGGGTCGACCTCACCCGCATGGCTGACCCCCTTCCCACTGGACCCCCATCTCGCAGAGCGCGCTGGAGGGGGAGCTCCTGCTCCTGCGAGCCCGCATGCTGCGCGTGCTGGACAACGCGGGCCTGCCGCTGTCCGACCGCGACGAGGAAGCGCGCCTGCGCGCGGCGGTGGCCGCCGCGGCGGGCGCGCCGGGCGGCGTCTCCGGCCCCGCGCCCGGCGCCGCCCACGCCCCGCCGGCCTCCTCCTCCGACGAGGAGGACAGCAGCGGGGAGGAGGGCGAGGAGGACACGCGCACCATCGCGGCGGTGCGGCCGGGGGCGCTGCGGCACCGCCTGCCGCCGCTGCCGCTGTCGGCGCGGCTGCACGCGCGCAGCAAGCTGGCGCTGCAGCCGGCGACGGCCCAGGAGGGCAAGGCGGCGTTCGAGGTGGCCGGGGCCGAGCTTCCCGCCACCCCCTCCCCTCGCCAGCGCACCCACCCGCTGCTCAGCCTGGGGCTGAAGGTGGCGGTGAGCGTGGGCATGGCGGCCCTAGGCGCCGCCGTGACCCTGCAGGGGGACGGTGGCGGGCGGCAGGAGGAGCGGAGGGCGGGGCGACGGAACTCGAGTTCCGAAGCCTGAAGGGCATTCGACGGCCCCACCCTGCACACGTACCACGATCGATGTGAAGCGGTCCGCAGGCCGAAAGGGGAGACTCGCTGGAGCTGGACCGTCTTGCGCAACCAAGCGCCTGATATCGAGTCGATCAGGAGCAGGAGTGGGGTGCGCAGGGGCGGAACGGGAGCTGGAGGCCTCTCAGACCCTGCAGCTCCCTGGGAACCAGGCCGCGACAGCCCCCGAGCGTGGCCGATGCGGCTTGCATGCAATCCTATTCCTGCTCTCATGTATCCCATGCTTCCCACCCTGGGCGGGTGAAAGTAATTTTCAGTTCGGAATCGGCGCATGCCCAGTGGCTGCCCTTCAGGGTTTGGGCGTGCTCGTCCGCTGGGAATCGCTGTCCGATGACTGGGACTCCTCTCCCAGAGAGTGGAGCTCATCATCCAGTTGGTGGGGCTCCTTGTCCAGTGGGGGGGCCTCCACGCTCGCCGGCCGGGGGTTCTCGCCATTCGAAGCCCCGGCCAGCATGCGTCGCAGGGGTCCCAGCTCGCCGCCGGCGTCCAGCAGCACGGCGCCCAGGACGACGTGCCACGCGCGCACGAGCGCAGCGGGCACAGCGCGCAGGCTCTTGCGCCCGCGCCCGGGTCTGACCATGGCTCGCAGGGCCGGCGGCGGCAACCAGGAATCGGCGCCGGGACGGCGTGGTTCTGGGCCGTTTCTATTCACATCCCGCTCTTTTTCGATGAGGAGCGCCGCCGCCCGGCCCAGGCTTTCTAGGCGGGTGGGGGCCCCGCCGACTGCACCCGCCTCATCCAGCTCGCGAAGGCCGGCGACAAGCCGCCCCGGCGCCCTGAAGTCATACCGCAGCGCGTGCTGCAGGGGCTCCAGCTCTGCGGGCGGCATAAAGACAACCCTTGCCGGGCGCAGAAAATGGGCAAGCAGGGCCAGTGCCGCGCCGAGGCCGGCCGCCATCAGGGGCAGGGCGGCGGCCGCGAGGCACGCCCAGACCGCGAGCGACGCGGCCGCCGGGGTCGCGTAGCGCGTGAGCCCCGGCGGCAGCCGTGCGGCGGCCAGCGCCTGGGCAGACCCCGCCGCGGAGGCCTGCAGGCGCAGGAGGCGAGCCAGCGCGGCCCGCGCACCGCTGGAAAGCGCGGCCTGTGATTCATCGAGTCGCCGCGCCGCGCGCCGCCTCACGTCCGGCCAGCCGGCGCCCAGGCGCTCGGCGACCACCGCGTCGGCGCGCGCGAACAACGGCAGCACGCGCAGCGCCCAAAGCTTGACGAGGGCTCGTCGCGCCGTCTGCACCTTGGGCAGCACCTCTCGATTGAGCACCTGGGAGCCCACCGTGTGCCACTCCCGGGCGTGCCGCAGCAGGGCGCCGGACCCTCGGTCCACCCAGACCTGGAGCCAGTGCGGCAGGAGCTCTGCATGAAGACGTCGGTGTGTAGGTCGGTGGGTGGGAGATGGGGCTGGATGCGCGGCGCGGCGCCAGGTGAGCCGCTGGCAAGCACACCGTCCCTCCATGCCGAGGGTCTGGCCAACCAGGGCATGCGCCGCAAAGCGCCCATGCCTACACCCGCTTCTCACCCGTGCGATGCTGCAGCTGCAGGGACTCGTACTCCTCCCTCGCCGCAAAGGTGGAAAGCAGGGCGGCCGTGGCAGCCTGCGCGGCCGCCGCCGTGCGCTCCGCCTCTGCCTGCGCCGCCAGCGCTGCGTCCAGTGATCGCTGGAGGTCCAACAGGCTGCTGCCGTCCTGCTCGTGCATGGCGAGCCTGTGCGTGGCGAATGGGGAGGAAAGGAAGGATGAGAGGTAGGCACCGCTGTTGTTTGAGGAACTGGGGGATGTGTGTCAGGTCTGCCGTTGGCATAGCACCCAAGTTCTTCTGCGGGGAAGGGGACGACCATGTATGTCTCCCATCTTGACCAATCCAGCAACAGGGCCCCAAGAGGCCTCCATGCCATGACTGGACGAGCGGATCACGAAGCGCCCACTGCACAATTCATGAAACCCCTCAAAGCCATAACAAGCATGCTCCGGTCTCACTGCGTCACCACTTTATCCCGTGCCACCCTCCCCAGCACCCGGCACACACCTGGCTCGGAAGCCCTCCACCTCCCGCCCGGCCTCCTCCAGCCGCTTCTCCGCCCTTTCCAGAGCCCTCTGGGCCTCCACCTGGGCGGCGGTGGCGTCGGTCAGGCGCACCCGGCACGCCGTCGCCGCACGGTGCAGCTTCTCGGTCCGGGCTTCCAGTGACTCGCGCGCCGCGGCGGCGTCGGTTGTGCACCGGAGGGAGGCCGCCTCGCAGGCCACCAGCGCCCCGGCCTGCGCCTCGGCCTTGGCAACGCTGGCCTGCAAGCTCTTGGCCGCTGAGACCAGCTTCTGGCGCAGCTTCTTGAGCTGGGTGTGTGGTGGGGGATGGGAGGTGACGCTTGTGGGAGATGCCCGCGCTGCACTCAGAGGGACTCCCTTCCCAACACACGGAAGTTGTCAGCTCATACCACACACGTGCCACTGGCTGCTCAATCAGAGGCATACATTGTTAAATCACGCATCCCATGGAATACGAATACAACACAGTCACCTCAACCCCCTCTTTGCACCCACCTCGGCGCCATCCCTCTCGGTTTGCGACACCAGGCGCTCCTCCAGTACTGCCACCGTCGATCGGGCGGCCCTGAGCTCCCCCTCCAGCTGAGATACCTCCGACTTGATCACTGAGCACTCGTAGCTATCATCGAGGTCATGATCGTTGAGCAGATCGGAGCTCGCGACCTCCTGGCTGGTGCAGGTGATGGCCAGCGCCAGGCACAGCGCGGCCACCAAGTGCCCGACCCGTACCGACATGGGGAATGCCTGGTGCTACACCCGAAAACGCATTTATAGTCCTCGAGTGCTCGCGGGGATGTTGCAGGAACGCCTGTATCGATTCCGAGTGATGGTCCGCGTCCGGCCTTGACTTAGCGCGCGCGGGGGGAATCACAAATGGGGGTGCAAGCTTGATGCCCAGATCTGCATTCTGTGCATACGACGAGCCCCCATTGAGTGTACTAAGACATTACAAACATCCTCGCGACCACAGCAGGCGTGGCTGGCCGCAGTCTTGACCACCGGAAGCTGGGTGCAGGAGTTTCTCCAAGAAGGTTTCAAGCATGGCTCGCCTGGGCGGGCGCACGGCCCTTTGGATCTTCTGGTTTATCTCCACGGTACATGGGCTCAGATCCCATGCATGGGCGGGGTCTGGCTCATCCCATGGGGCTGGAGAGCACAGGCCTCCTCCCCGCTTCTCGCGCGAGTATGGGAGGAACCTCCATCGAAACGGGTCCAGTTGGGCAGCCCTGCCCGCCCTTCAGAGCTAACCACGCCTAGGGCTCAACCAGCACTCTCGCCCGTGCAGGTCATCTCCGTACTCTTCATGATCGTGGGGCTGATCACCTTTGTCAACCTGACCAACGTACAATGGAATGAAGAGGCAGGGGACCTGGGTGCGCAGCTGAATGGCGCCCTGGCGGCTTGCTTCATGGCACCCGTGCTGGTCGCCGTCCTGGACCTTTCAGCCATGCTGATCCTCGCAAAAAAGACCTACGCCCTGTCTGGGACTGGACTCTCATACGGTGAGGCAGCTGCTCTGCAAGTGTTGGGCTCGCTGGATTGGGGAAGGATACCCTGCACTGGGTCTCCTGCAGACTTGCTCAGCAGTAGGACTTTGTTGTCCTGCAATCGGGGGCTGTCACATTTAAGGACATAGTGTAGAAGGTGTAGCATAGCCTAGCCTCACCCTAATGTGCTGACGCCAGCAGGTCCTCAAGCATCGCTCGCCCGTATGCCAACATGATACCCCCGTCCATGCACACAGGCTTCCTGACTGCGAGCTACCTGTGAGTAGCAGCTGCATTGGGTACACTATGACTGAATAAGTTGCTGTGAGGGAGTCTTGTGAGGAGCAAGGCTGGACACCTGCCCATCTTTAGGAAGTGAAGCATTCCTCTTCATGCCTCCGCCCCTCCCCTTGTTGCCTGATGGGCATGTGCTGCGTGCAGCAATACCCTTCCATCAACGCTTCAAGCCAGCTCCAATCATTTCCCTCAGATGGGCCGCCATCTTCCTATTGCTGACGGGAACGACACTGACCAGTGTCAAGCACTGGACTGCTGCCTTTGAACAGTGTACGTGGAGGTTGCGGGGTGGGAATATTAGCTTTCTGCATTGTGGCCAAGGGATTGCAAGAATTGATAGCTCTGGGCATCGCGATGTGTTGCACGAATACCGACAGCACAGAGTTGGAAGTACATGCCTCATCCCGTCACCAACCCTTCTGCGCAGCCCTGCTCTGGACTGACAGCAACACCAGGGAGTTTACCGCTGCCACTGTACTGGCCTTCCTGTCAGTTGGGGGCTACCTAGCCATGTTTGGAGTGCTGCTGGGCTGCCATCGCAGCGTCAAGGCTGGCCAGAGTGAGTTGCCTTTTCGGGAATGGGCGGGGCGTTTGGGTTGATAGGGAGAGAATGCGTTGAAGTGGCTTTCACTAGTCTCTGTTAGACTATGTGAACCCAACTTTCCAAGGCCCTTGATTCTGAGAACGTGTTTTCGATGCTGAGAAAGCGAGGACTCCAGCGTCACCTGCCACTGCCCCTGACGACACGCCCACCAATCCTGCAGTGACCATGGACGAAGTGGAGGACCGCATCCGGACGCTGCCCATGTCAGACGTGAGCCACCAGGCCTCACCTGGGCCCCAGGCATGGTCAAACGGGGTTTAATGGAAAGATTCTCGCTGGTGTGTGGGGCCAAGACCTCCTCACACGGCTGCAGCTACCGGCATGAGGCACTGCGTCCCTTTGCAAGGCATACACAGTGGCCATTCAATGGCCCCTGCACGAGAATGTTGCAGCGCATGCATCCTGGTTGCATACTCCCTTATTGTAAATGTCATTATGTTGAGTTGTTGTAATGAAGTACCCGAGTAGACGAGGTGGTGCTACCCTCCAATGCCTGTAGCATACTATGCCGTGGTCTTAGATCCTTCAGTGTACCAGGTGCACCCAAGTCAATTCAAGACGAATGATTCCAGGCAGTGCCCTCACTCCCCTTGCAAGATATAGGACCAGCTCATGGAGCTGAAATTGGCAATGATACAACACCAGCCATGTCACAGCATCGTTGTACTATACTGTGTGGGAGGAATATCATGCAGACAAGGGTATGTGCTGAATGATGCACGCTGCAATCCGTGAGCACGGCCTCCACAGCATCTGCCCATTCTCCAGAATTACAAAGGAGGATCACTCGAGGGGAGACTGCCGGGAGAGCGCGCCACGACGCGTCTGCAGGGCTCAGGATGCACAGAGGTATGCGTGCTCCGCGCCGAGCACATGGGCTTGCAGCGGCTTTGGTGGGTTTTGCAGCTGTCCATTGCCCAGTCTCCATTCCGCAGCACCCTTCCCTGTCCCTCGTCACCACGCCGTCATCCGCAAGCGCCCCCCGTGCGCTGTCAGTAGCGGGGATACCTGTCAGTGTTGGGCGATTCACCCCTTTTGATCCAGCCCAGGACCACAGCATGTCTGTTCGGGGGTGCACCGACCCCATCCCTCTTCAGCCCCCCCCCCATCCACCGCCCGCCCCTGCACGAACCAGAACATGCCCTTGATGCCCTGCGGGTCTGGCTGGAAGCCCAGGGCGGAGTAGAAGGAGATGGTGTGCGCGTCCGCGAAGAGGGTGACGTTGGTGATGTCCAGGCGCAGCAGGGCCCGCACCATGGTCTCCACCAGTGCCTTGCCCAGGCCCAGGTTCTGGAGGTCCGGGTCCACCGCCACGTCCCACAGCGTGGCATTGAACACGCCGTCTGACGTGGCGCGGGCCAGGCCCACGAGGCGGGGGGGCGGCGCGGCAGGGGACCCCGGGTCTGGGGCCTCCAGCGTGAGCGTCCCCACCATGAAGCTGTTGGCCAGGGCTATCCGCACCTTGGCGGAGGGGCGGGGCGGCCAGCCGACCTGGGTGTGGGGAACGGGGGAGGAGGGTGGTGGGGTGAGGCTGGGGCCCGAGTGCTGCGGCCAGGAATTTGGATGGTGGCAGCGAGGGGGGGGGGGGGCCTGACCACAACCCCCTGCCCCTTCATCCAACCCTTGCATCCCACACCACCACCCACCTTGGCGCAGAGCTGTTCTAGGTCGTCCAGGTCCACGGGACCGCCCTTCCTGAACACCACGTTGTACACCGTGCCATCGGACTGGGTGAACTTCCGCAGCACCACCTCATCGAGGGACTCCGAGGAGTAGTCTGCTAATGGCGAGGGGGGTGCAGACCTGTCGAAGAGGGAGCCGAACAGGCCATACGCTGCGACGCTGGGACGACATGGTCGTGCATCGTGGCGACCATGTGCTTGATCCTGCCAGAGGATGTGTCTAACGGGTGGTCGTGATCTGAATGCCGGGCTGACGAGCAGGGTAGGGCAGCACCCCACCACGGCACAGCTCGGCATAGTGCCGTGGTAGCCCAGTACGGCCTCCCGATGTCTCTCTGGACGAGCAAAGGTAATCCAATGATGTATGCTCGATTTCTAGATAGACCTGCTTGCAGATGTGTGGTCGACTTGAAGTAGGAGACGTCTGGTGAGTCGCGCGCAGTGTTGTGCATGGGGAGCATCCATCTAGTGGCATGATGACCGCTGGATCCTTGTCATTCTAGCTTCACATCACAAAGGGCGACAATGCACCGGGAGCTATGATGAGCATTGGAATTCTCCATCTTCAGGACAAATTCATCACTGCCAGGGGTTAGAATCCCTGTCCGCTACCATTCTGTTATGGAGCCAGTCTGACTCCACACTGCGGTCGGGCTTGCAACGGGGGAGGATATGCTTTCTCTCCTAGACTGACCCTCGTTCCTGCGGCCCTGCATATCCACAAGCAATACCCCATTCGTCGGAATCGCTGTGCACCACAGTGGATCAATATTTCAGCTGCCCCTTTGCAGGTTGATTGGCATGGTGAGCCCTCAAACAGTCTATTACAAAACAATCATACCTGTGATCGCGATTTTCAACAATCACCCGAGTCCTTCTTGCATATGCAGGATCCGGTACTTGATGGGCTCATTGAGAATTGCAGAAGTGAACGCCTGCGGTGCGCGCTGTGTCAGGCGCGCGCGCCTGCATACATGTAAGCCATGCACGTACCAGGCCGCGACAATCACGGCTGCAATCCAAAGCAACGCAATGTATCTTGCACTCTGCATGGCACAGATTTGAGCCTGCCATGGATACGGCCGACGTTTTTCAAACACTCGGCCTCGGCATCAACTTTGACAAGAGACGCTTCGGCAAGGACATTGCCCTTTTTGAGGGCAGCTCGGGGCTCAAGGGTACTAGTAAGACTTCAATTGATCGTGAAGGTGTGTTTCTACATGGCTGAAGCAGGAACATCGATGCGACTCGTGAGGGATTCACCCCGCACAGGTCGGCTGGCCGGATGTCGATGTTGACACGCTGTCGCGCCCACAGTCGTCCTCCAACCTTCACACCTGCATCCCCAGGCGACGATGAAGCCACATTGGATGCCACAGCCCGGCCGGGTCTCTCCCGGGGGGGCGCCGAGGGTGCAGGCCCCCCCTCGGAAGCCTCCACCCCGGCCTTCCTGGACAGCCTGCCCCACGTCAGCACGCGCGACCCAAACGAGGAGGCCAACGTCATCCGCAAGCTGCACCACATCCGCGTGTCCGGCAGCCTGCCCCCACCCCCCCTGCGCACCTTTGCCCAGCTGGCGTGTGAGGGGGAGGGCAGGGGCGACCCGCGGCCCTCCCGCCTCCTGCGCAACCTGGCCGGCGCGGGTTTCCTGGAGCCCACCCCCATCCAGCGCCAGGCCATCCCTGCCCTGCTCGCCCGGCGCGAGCTGCTGGCCGTGGCGCCCACTGGCTCCGGCAAGACCCTGGCCTTCCTCCTGCCCCTGCTGCTGCACGCGCGCGCGATGCGCCGCGAGCTGGGCCCCGCCGGCGCGGGCCCGGGGACCGCGCCGGGGCCCCGCGCCGTGGTCCTCAGCCCCACTCGTGAGCTGACCGCGCAGTCGGCGCGTGTGCTGGCCCTGCTGCTGCCGGGCCTGGGCCTGCGCGCCGCGCTGCTCTCCAAGGCCACCGCCGCCGGCACCGACTTTGCGCGCGTGGACGTGCTGCTGGCAAACCCGCTGCGCCTTGCCGCGCTCGCCGGCGGCCAGGGCCAGGGGGCTGGCGGCCGGGAGGCCGAGGGGCAGGCGCCGCCGAGGGGCGAGGAGCCGCGGAGCGGCGCGGAGCGTCAACCCCATCAACACCCCCCCGGCGAGTTGTCCGGCACACGAGTTCCAGCATCTCGCGACCCCCCCGATACCACACAGCCCCGCCGGCTGGACCTGAGTCAGGTGCGGACCCTGGTGCTGGATGAGGCGGACAAGCTCTTCGACATGGGCTTCACGCCGCAGGTGGATGCGGTGCTCGCCGCGGCCACACACCCCGACCTCGTGCGCGCGCTCTTCAGCGCCACCCTGCCCGAGACGGTGCGGGGGCTGCCGGGGTGCTTGGGGCGTGGGGGGAAAGGGGGGAACGTCGGGCGGCCAGAGGAATCCCCCTTGGAGCGGGGCCCGGCGCCGCTTGCCCCTCCCCCCAACCCCATCGGACCCCCCGGCCCTCGACACACACCCAACCCTCCCCTCCCTCCAAGGTGGAAAGCATGGCGCGGAGCGTGCTGCACGACCCCCTGCGCATCACGGTGGGGGAGCGGGGCAACGCCTCGGCCGCGGTGACCCAGGCCCTGCAGTTCGTGGGCCGGGAGGCTGGCAAGGCACTGGCGCTGCGCCAGCTGCTGGCGGGGGGTGTCAAGCCTCCCATCCTGGTCTTCGTGGCCAGCCGGGAGCGCGCCAAGGAGGTGCACAGGTCAGGGGGGTTGCTTGTATACATCAGGTGGGGGGGGGGGGGGGGGGGTAGGATGGGGCTCCCAATGGGAGGGGGTGCAAGGAATCCGGATCTTACGCCAGGCGAGCCCCATGTGCGTGCATGGCACTGGGGTTCTGGAGGTTCCTTCAGCTCGCAAGAGGGCGCTCGTCGTACGCATACCCGTCCAGCAACTGCTTCATCTCCTCCAAAATGTTCCTTCCTTTCTTCCCAGGGAGCTGCGCTTCGACGGCGTGCACGTGGACTGCATCCACTCGGACCAGAGCGATGCCGCGCGGGGCGCCGCCATCGCCAGCTTCCGCAGGGGCAGCACCTGGGTGCTGATCGCCACCGACCTGCTGGGGCGCGGCATGGACTTCCCGGGGGTCAACACCGTGGTCAACTACGACTGCCCCCGCTCCACCACCGACTACGTGCACCGGGTTGGGAGGACCGGGCGCGCCGGGCGAGCAGGTGCGAGGGGTTATGTGGCTTTGTTTCTGGAAGGCAGGAATGACTGGCTCTGGAGAGGATGGGCTTGCCTGGTGTGGCGGATCAGGTGCGTGAGGGTGTGTACTCAACCTCCTACCAAGCCGTACGATCGCCGCCAGCGCCACCAATCTCCTGCAACCCCTGGCAGGGTCGGCGATCACCTTCTTCACGGAAGAGGACGTCAAGTACCTGCGGGGCATCGCCAACGTTGTACGGGCGTCGGGCTCCCCCGTCCCAGACTGGATGCTGGCGCTGAGGAAGGAGCGGCGGCGGAAGCGCTCCGACCCGGAGCAGGCGGTTGCGCTGGAGGAGGGCGACGTGGCCGCTGACGGTGACGCTGCGATGGAGGGAGGAAGCTCGCAGAAAGCCACCGCCAAGCCGGCCAGGGAGGTGCGAACCAGGCCGAAGAAGGCAAAGAAGGAGGATGGGTCCACAGAACAAGCCGCGCCTGATCGGCCCAAGGCCGCCCACAAAAAACCTAAAAAGTCCTGAGGCCCCTAATCGTGGAGTACAGGCATATACACTTCCATTTAAAGCCATCAAGTATCTCTTTGATAATATTGCACGTCATGGACTCGAAAAATATGGCATGCAGGCGGGTCGGTCGGGCTCTGCCGTCCAGGTTAGTCAGGAAAGGGACAGAAATTGCGCCGTCGTGATCTGGACAGTCGCATGAGCTGCAGGGCCCTCAATGGACGGAGCAGGCGGAAGTTGTGCATACTATCTACCAGGTAACAATGCATGGCATGGGGGCGCGGTTGCAGCATGTTGCCCGCTGAGATGGGGAGGGCGCGCTGTGCGCCACGTTGGAAACGTGGGTCCAATAGTTTTCAATCTGGCTTCATCGAGTGACCTGCCCTGTAAACCCCAAACCATCCTTTCGCCCTGCACATCACAGGACGATTGGATTGCCTCCTGTTGCTTGCAGCGCAAGGGTGACGGCCCCTTGCGGACAGACCCATGGCTCCCCAGCTGGCCTCGGCCGTGCATCCCTCAGCAGGCCCCTGCACGCGAGTTCTGTCCGCTCCAAAGCCTGCATTTGTACCCCGCCACCAGACCAGCCCCAAGCGTGGGCTGTCGTCGGCGTCTCGCAAGCTCGTCCCCTGTGCTCCGGCACGGCGCTGTGGGCGTACCGCAGCGGTAGCGCCACGCTCAGCCCAGACTGCTGATTCCAGGTGTGGGGGAGGTAGTAAGTTTGCGTGATCCAGGGTCACCTCCGGCATAAACCCATTGTGAGAATCTTCATCGACCCATTTTCTCACCTTTTATCCCCAACAGCATGGCTTCCCCTACCGCCCAGTCGGAGGTCGGGCTCATCGGCCTCGCGGTCATGGGCCAGGTGAACCCGGAGTGGGGCGGGCCGCCCTGTCCCTGCTCGCTCTGCCCCATTCTAGTATGAGATATTGCTTCCATGCCTGCCCCGAGGGTCGCGCCTCGGCCCCCCGATCGCGCTGCTGTCGTTGTCAAATGACGTGAATGCTGACGCGAGTCGTCTCCCCCGCAGAATCTGGCCCTGAATGTGGCGGAGAAGGGCTTCCACATCTCCGTGTACAACCGATCTGGGGACAAGACGGACGCCGCCGTGTCCCGGGCCGGGAAGGAGGGCGTGGGCGAGCGCCTGCATGGGTACAAGGAGCTCAAGGACTTTGTGGCCTCCCTCAAGCGCCCCAGGTAGGGAGGGGGGGGGGGAGTTGGGCTTGTGGCGCGCAAATTCTCCTGTCTGGGATTGAGACACTCTTTCAGCTGCATGATATCCGGTCCCATGCTGGGTACCCTTTTCTGTCGTGAGCGGTTATGCCTAGGGTTTGTCACCCACTGCTGGGTCCCTCTCGCCTGGGGCGCTCCCGCGCGCCTTCCCCGGGTTTCGCCCCCCTCCTCCTATTTCTATTACAAACAGCACATGGCCGACCTCCACCCAGCCGGTTACTCACCCCGCCTTTCCTCACCCCTCCAACACCAACAAGCAGGCGCGTGATCATTCTGGTGAAGGCGGGCGCCCCCGTGGACGCAACCATCAAGCAGCTGACGCAGTTCTTGGAGCCCGGCGACATCATCATCGACGGCGGGAACGAGTGGTACGAGAACACGGAGCGGCGCCAGGCGGAGCTGGCGGCCCTGGGCATCCACCACATCGGCATGGGGGTGTCCGGCGGCGAGGAGGGCGCGCGCAACGGCCCCGCCATGATGCCTGGCGGCGACGAGGGCGCCTACTCCCACCTCCGACCCGTGGTGGAGCGCGTGGCGGCGCAGACCGACGACGGCCCCTGCGTGACCTACATCGGGCCCGGGGGCGCTGGGAACTACGTGAAGATGGTGCACAACGGCATCGAGTACGGCGACATGCAGCTGATCGCGGAGGCGTACGACGTGCTGCGCACCGTGGGTGGGCTGAGCAACGAGGAGCTGGCGGCCACCTTTGTGGAGTGGAACGGCGGCGAGCTGGAATCCTTCCTGGTCATGATCACCAGCCTCATCTTCTCCGTGCGCGACACCGAGGGCGAGGGCTTCCTGCTGGACAAGATCCTGGACAAGACGGGGATGAAGGGGACGGGGAAGTGGACCATCCAGCAGGCCGCGGAGCTGAGCGTGGCCGCGCCCACCATGGCCGCCGCGCTGGACGCGCGCTTCCTGTCGGGGCTCAAGGACGAGCGCGTGGCGGCGGAGGCGCTGTATGCGGGCCTGGGGGTGGCGGCCCCGGCCGCCGCGCCCGGCGTGGACAAGGCGGCGCTGGTGGCCGATGTGCGCGAGGCACTGTACGCCGCCAAGATCTGCTCCTACGCACAGGGCTACAACATCATCCGCGCCAAGAGCATGGAGAAGGGCTGGGGCATCGAGCTGGCAGACCTGGGCCGCATCTGGAAGGTACCCGGTGGGGTTGGGGTGTGTTTCATTCTTGTGTTCTTGGTGGGCAACGGTGTCGCTCCTGACGTGGCCTGGGTCTCCCATCTCCCTTCTTCGTGACTCTGCTGGCATGCAACTCCCTGGCCTCTGCACCAACCCCCACCCCCGGTCACCCTTGACAACAACCCACCCACCCGCCCCAGGGCGGCTGCATCATCCGCGCCGCGTTCCTGGACCGGATCAAGGTGGCCTACCAGCGCAACCCCGACCTGCCCAACCTCCTGGTGGACCCCGACTTTGCCGCCGAGCTGGCGCGGAAGCAGGACGCCTGGCGCCGCGTGGTGGCCGTGGCCGTGGGCGCCGGCATTGGCATCCCCGGCATCACCGGCTCCCTGGGCTACTTTGACTCCTACCGCCGCGGCCGCCTGCCCGCCAACCTGGTCCAGGCGCAGCGCGACTTCTTCGGCTCCCACACCTACGAGCGTGTGGACCGGCCGGGGTGGACGCACACCGTGTGGGACGCGTCCTTTGGCTCCGCGGACAGCATCACCACCTCCGGATACAACAACTGAGCGCGCAGCCGCGCGCGCGGCGAAGGGGGGGTGGAGGGGGAACTGTCTGTGCGAGAGTGTACGTGCACATCTGCCCCTGCCCCCTGCTGTCCCCATAAATGCACTGGCTGTCAACATGCATAGATCCAGCACCGTGCTCAGGATAGGAGACAGGGTTCAGGGTAGGGTACGTACTCGAGACATCCGTATTCAGGAGACGCCAACAGGGGAAATTACTCATCCATACCTTCGAAAGCCACAAGGACTCCCCACCCCCTCACCTTCCGGGTTCCAACACGATCGAACATGGCTCGTGAAATTGGCCAGACTTCCACGAGTCATCCCCCTGGGTCACACCAGGTCAGGAGCCAACACCACCGTCAGGATGGCCGAGCGGTCTAAGGCGTGCGGTTCAGGTCCGTATCCGGAAGGGCGTGGGTTCGAATCCCACTTCTGACATTCCACCTTTTGCGATGTTTTGGTACCACAATCTCTTTACCTTGGTGAACCACAGCGCTCCAGCGCGCTCCAGCATCGGCAGCTGTATTCACAACCGGCGAGAGATCGGCTTGCACGGTTAAATAGGAGCACAAGCGGCATGCATCCCGGCAGGGAGATGTGAAACGCAAGTGCATGGTGCATCCCAACCCCAACATCCAGCCAGGCAGTGATGTGCACAGTTCTGCAGGTAATCTGCACTTTTTACGCTGGGAGCTTGTTGCGTCACCACGTGCAGCCCAGCAGAGGCACAGAGCAACATGGAAATGGAGACCTGGAAATTCTGTTCCTTTACCCACCACATCTATGTCAAGGGGACACGTCGTCTACACACTTCTGCATCGACAAATCTTCCGCATAAGCAATCTTCAGAGCTGACTACTGCCTTATGCACCCATACGCAGCTCAACTTGGCCATTAAGCTGCACGCGGTCTCATGTGCTTTCTCGCTTTCCAGCCGCTTAAGGGCCCCAACATGCACAGTGCATGCGCGTAATTGTTAAGCTCGCATGTTCGCAGTCCTCGATAGCACGCACCCCTCCAAACCTTGTAATGGATGATGCCATGGAAATAACGGTGCAGGGGGTAGAATCCGTGGCCCTGGCGCCCTGGCCGGCTCAGGCACGGGAAGAAGGCAGCCCAGCCCCCTCGCTCCGTGGCGAGGCTGACGCCTCCCCCCCATGCCCCACTTGGCCCCAACTCCCCACCACACCCGATGAGAGCTCTCTGTCAGGTCTACGCCGCACCTCGGAGCTGAGATTGGACCTGTTGGAGTTTCATGCCCGCCACCGCATTCCATTCGGGGTGGGTGCTGGCTCCTCCCTTTGCCGGGCGCCGGGCATGGGATCCTGGGGGCATGCTCCCCGCCCCATGTCGCCTCCATGGCGCATCGCGTGAGATGTCAGGAAGCCTTGCTCCGGGGTGCCCAGGTGCCCATGCCGCACCGTCGGATTTGAAATCTCCCCGAGAATCTGGCGTCCCGACGCCCAAGATCCTCCCGTCCTCACCCCTCGCCCACCGTTTCCCCCTTTGCCACAGACCCCCCCCCGGTTCAACAAATCCGAGCTGGACCTGGACCTGCTGTGGGACCTGGTGGTGCGCCAGCATGGCGGCTACGACGCCGTGAGCATGAACAAGCAGTGGGCGACGGTGGGCCGCCAGCTGGGCCCCAGCAAGTCCATGACAAACCTCAGCTTCCACGTGCGCCGCCTGTACGAGCGCCACCTCCTGCCCTACGAGGTGTACCTGCGCAAGGGCTTGCCGCCCTCCCCCACCCGCTCCTGGTCGGTGGGAAACGCTGGCGCGCGCGGCGGCGAGGGCGGCGAGGGCGCCGGCGTGGTGGACCGCGGATCGCCGCCGCCGGGGCGCAAGCGCCGCCCCTCCTCCTCCCACTGGTCGCTGCCGCCCCTGCCCTCCAAGCCCAGCCGCCCCGCCCGCAGCACGCGGGGCAAGCACAGTCGCTGGACCGACGAGATCCTGGACTGGAGGGAGGACAGCGCGCACGCTGGACGGGGGCAGGGGCGCAGCGTGCACAGCGCGCCACACATCGGCGTGCCGCGCCGTGGCGAGCCCGGCGCGGAGGGTCTGGAGGGGGGGGAGGAGGCCGGCAGCCAGTCGCCGGAGGACGAGGAGGAAGAGTCCATGGAGGTGGCCTCGCCCCGCATCAAGACCTGGATCCCAGGTGGCGTTGGGGGTGGTGCCGCTGTTCTGTGCATGGAAAGGAGTAAGGGGGGGGGGTTCGCTTTGAGAGGGCTCTTGGACTGGTGCCTGGCTGAGTATTCAAGTTGAATGGTGAGAAGGCGTAGCTGTTTATCCCCCCCACCGCCCTTGGAGCAACCAATACAAGCCAGGTCGTGCAAAGTCCAGCGCCGGCGGTTTCCCCCCGATTTCTCACCCATAGCCGCCACCACCCTCGCCGCCGTCGCAGGGAGCAGCAGCAACCTGCGCGGCCAAGACCTGGTAGGCTACCACATCAAGCTGCACGGCGCGAGGCAGGACGCCAGCCCCCAGATCGGGCTGGTCGTCTCTTACCGCGCCGCGGATCGCACAGTGAGTGGTTCTGGTCATGGGGCGACTGGGCTGGGTGCATGTCCAGTCCTCGGGCCTCGGTCCGGAGGGCACCGTCAACAATATAACTCTGAAAAAAGCCTTTGCAGGTCTCACATTCCTCCTCCCCTGCCCCCCCCCACCCCCTTCCCAGTACCTGGTGGAGCTGGAGGAGGGGCAGCGCTTGCACCTGGACCTTCACGCCGGCCCGCCCTGGCAGCTCTGCGCCGACGACGACCAGGAGGCGCTGGCAGTGCAGCAGCTCACCCGTCTCGGCTCAGACGCGGTCAGCATCGGCAGGGCGCTGGAGCCGCTGACCCAGGAGTCGGCGCCGCAAGCGGCGCCCCGGGCCAGCGATGGCGGGGAGGGGCTCGACCGGGAGGCCCCGCCCCCGGGTGGCGCCGCCGCAGGCATCGGCACGCAGGCGGCCGCGCCGGCGCCCGGCGGGACCCACCCGCATGCAGCCGCCGCCGGCACGGAGGCGGGCGCACTGTCCGAGGCGGTGGGCCAGCTCCTGACGCAGCTGCTGGCCGCCGCGGCGGGGCCGGGGCTGCGGCCCGGCTCGGGCCCGCCGCCGGCCCACCTCGTGGCCGCGCTGCAGGCAGCGATGGGCGCGGGCCTGCGCGTGCACGAGGGCGCCGGCGCCCTGGGCGCCGGCGCCCAGGCGGTCGTGGCGGCGCTGGTGCGCGGCGCCGCCGCCGCGCTGGGCGCGCTGGGCGACCTGCTGGCCGAGGCGCAGGGGCGGGCGGCCGTGCTGGAGGGGGAGCTGGCCGAGGCGCGCGCGCTTGCGGCGCAGGAGGCGGCGGCGCTGCGCGCCGGCGCCGACGAGCTGCGCGGCACCCTGACCCTGCTCCTGCAGGGCCTGAGTGCGACGCCGGTGGGCGGCGCCCGGGTGGGCCTGCTGCCGGCCATGGGCTCCGCCGCCGCGAGGCCGTACGGCGTCGTGTTCCGGCCGCCAGGCCAGGCGCAGGCGGAGGCCCCGCAGGTGACTGGCCCGGGCACGCAGCATCCCCGTGCGCACCCCGACGCGGGGGCCCAGGGCCCGCAGCCGCTCGCCGACGGCGGCCGCGTGGGAGCGGCGGGGGCGGCCGCCGGGCCCGCCGCCGCCACCTCCCCAGCCTCGCCCGCCTCGCACGAGGCGGGGGCAGGGGTCCCCGTCGCCGTCCAGCGCGGGACCTGGGAGCAGGCGCAGCAGGCGCCGTCGAGGGCGGCATGGACCGTGACCACGGCCGCGGGGGTGGGGGCCGGCGGCCGGGCCCAGCGACTGCGCAGTCCCCCCGCGCCCCAGCCCACGCCGCGGTCCAAGTGGGGCACGCTTCCCACCCACTGGCCGGGCAAGGGCGGCCAGGGCTCGGCGGGCACCGGCGGCGGCGGCGGCGGCGGCGCGCACCCGTGCCACATGCTCGTGCAGCGGCCACCGGAGGGCGCCGACTGTGCGGGGGTTGATGCAGCCGGGCACGCAGGGCTTGGCAGCGGAGCCAGGGACCTGAGCAGCAGCGCTGAGGGGCTGGCCCCCCGCGACCGCGCCTGGTCGGAGGAGGAGCTGGTCACCCCGCCCAGCACGCTGGGCGAGGCGCAGGCCCCGCCCCCCGACACCCCCACCGACCCCGGCGCGATGAGGGATGGCGGCATGGAGCGGGGGCCCGGCCTGGCCGCGCCGGGGCCTGGCCGGCCCACACTCCAGGCCCTGCCCTGACGCGTGCCTGTCGACAGCACGCCACGCGCCACCCATTGCCGTGCGCGGGTGCCCTGCTCCTCATGATCTGCAGCGCAACAGCCCCAAGCCTCCGCAGGAAAGCCCATGGGGAAGCTCCATGACCTTCCCTGCTCGATCCCCCCAAAGGCGGCTGGCGTCGCCAGGGCATTGGACTTGCCCATCCCCTCTTGTTTCCCCGCCGCGAGCAACATGAATCGCTCCAGACCGCTCCAGACCGTCTCTGTCATATCTCTCTTGATGCCATTGCCACCCCATGTAATCCCACGGTACCCACCTGACCCTCGCCCACGAAATTACCCCCCCCCCTCCCCAACCCCCCTCTCACTGGTCCTCTCGCGATGAAGGGGAATGACCAGATACTAAGACAAGCAGCCACTCCGAGCATATTGAGAAAGTGAGGTACATCACCAGGAAAAGCGAGCCTGCAAGAGGCGCGTGTCAGACAGACGAGGAGAGAAGTGTGTCTTGAGTACTGAAGATATGGTAGAAAGGGGCGACGACCTTCACATGGTGCATGCCAAACCGTTCAAAGGGCTTGAGGGAGAGGGTCCCCAGCTTGTGGGGCTGTGGGTGATGGGTGAAAAATGGGGGTTGGGAGGGTGCAGTTCTCAACGAAACCTCAAGCTCGGCCAGCCCATTGGGTGCTTATGAAGGGACAGGCGGCCGAGGGGTCCTTTGGTAGGGGCGTTTATGCCGGCTCATTTGTCAGCCAGGTTGCTTCCGCAAGCAAACCTCCCGAGGGATGTGCGACAGAGGTTCAGCCCGTGTATCCCTGCTCCCGAGCTCCACTTCGCTCAGGTTTCCAGAAGTTGATAGGCGGGCGGGGGTGCGGTTGGGCACCCTCACGCCAGCTCAAAGTCGTCCAGGGTCTTCTCCCCCTTGGCCAGCTGCCCCAGGTGGAAGCGCAGCGACCCAAAGGGCGCCGCCAGGCTCAGGGGCGTCTCGCCCTCCTGATTCTCAGACTGCGTGGCAGGATTGGGAAGGAGGCGACATAAGGACGCTGGGAGGAAGAAAGCGGAGCACATGCCATCAAGAGCAATAGCAAGCTTGGATGTGACAAGCCAGCTCGGGTGAAGGACAATCCATGGAACTCAGAGGGCAAAGTTCTGCAAACATTCCTCATACGAACAAATCAACGACGCATTCCCAGACACCCTGCCTCCCCTCACAGACGTGCCCCACCTCCACGTCGGCACCCCGGCCTGCCAGGACCAGCGCAGCCACGCGGTGGCCCCCGCTGCACGCCAGGCTGAGGGGGGTCTGCCCGTAGTTGTCCTTCACGTCCAGCTTCACGCCGGGCGTGTCCAGGAGCACACGCAGCACCGGGGTCAAGCCCACTGAGGCTGCGCGGTGCAGGGGGGTGGCCCCTGTGCAGTCCCGCGCGTTCACGTCCGCGCCGTGCGAGACGAGATCCGGGATGATGTCCACGCACCCCTTGCTGGCCGCGTAGTGGAGCGGGCTGCGCCCCTGCGCTGTGGTCTGCCCCGCGCTGGCACCCGTGATCAGCAGCAGCTTGGCCACGGAGGGGTACCCGCAGCTCGTCGCGGAGTGCAGGGCCGTCCAGCCCTGCGCGGCGGCAATGGAGCGGGCATGGGTGAGCATGCGCTCCCGCGCGCCGACATGCCGGTGCATTCCCGGGGCCCGAGGCGGGCGGTGTCGAGCCGGGGCCATCGGAAACCACCCCTCCCATGCCAGAGGGGGCCTCATGTAAAAGCCTCACCACGCACCTCGTCATCGGCGTGGTCGATGAGCTCTTTACCGCCGCTGTCTAGAATATACTGCACCAAATCCAGGTCCCCCGTGCAGGCCACCACATGGAGCAGGGTCCGGTTGTCCTCGTCAAACTTGTGGACCACGGCATGCAGCTGCTCCGTGTTAAGGTGGTAGATGAAGTCCATGTTTCCCTCCCGAGCTGCCGCCGCAGCGTCCTCGATCGGCATCCCTGCCTCGCGGTGTGTGTACAGGGGGCGGCCCCGTCGTGACAGTCACCCCGTCGCCGAGAGCTCGGGCACCAGGCTGGCTGTGACGGACTACCTCGAGACCCCTCAACACCCTGGCATGGCCGACTCGTGGGCCTTGAGATCGATCACGAGGCGGCCTGCCCCCGACAACGTGAAATGGTCCGGACCGACACGCCCCGCCACTGGGCAGCACCTGGCATGCCACAGCTGAATTCTGGATCACGTCATCCGAATCCAAAATTTCTGCGCGCCTGCAAATCTGAATTTTACATGTCATGGGAGAGGAGTCTGTTACGTCAAGTGAAGAGGGGAAAGCACAGGCCAAGGGCGGGTACACATCTGCAGGTCTCACATCTCTTCTCGCACGGGCGAGGATCTTTTCCGGGGGGGTAAGAGATGAAAGGGGCTAATGTTGGGGGTAAGGGAGGATTTCTTCCTTTTCAGTGTGTGAGGGGGGAAAGGCAATGCAGCGCAGCGCCCGGCGCTCCGCGTACACCGCCGGTGTGAGCGCTCGCCAGTAGACCCGCCCGGCGGCAGTCCACCCGGCCGGCAGCAGTCCACCCGGCCGGCAGCAGTCCACCCGGCCGGCAGCAGCCCCCTGGCCCGGCGGCAGTCCACCCGCCCGCCACCCCCCCGGCTCCCCCATCCTCATCGCAGCGTGGAAAGGGGGGCGCGGTGCACGGTGCGCGCGGCCTCCGTGCCCGCCTTGCCCGCCCGCCCGGGCAGGCTGCTCTGCGACAGGTTGAGCGGGTTGGTCTCCGCCGACGCGCGCACCGCCTCGGCGCGCAGCGCCTCCGCCAGTAGCGCGTTCTCGGCGCTGCTGCGCGCCGCCTCCTTGGCGCCGCCCGCCGTGCCGCCGCCGCCGCCTGCCGTGCCACCCCCGCCCCCGCCCGACTGCTGCTGGGCCAGGGTGGAGTGGATCATGGCAAACTTGCGCTGCAGGCGCTCCACGGAGGCCAGCTCCGACTCCAGCGCCTTCAGCCGGCCCTCCAGGGCGGCGCGTACCGCGGCGACATCAAACACCTCGTCCAGGTCCTCCGCGTAGGCGGCCTCCAGCTCCTCGCGCAAGCGCGTCGGGAACGCGTCGATGAGGGGCATGAGGAAGAAGCAGTTGAACTTGAGCTCCACCGCCTGCACAAAGTGGTCGCGGATGCCCTCGAAGATCTGGCACACCAGCGCGGCCACGATCTCCTCGCTCATCGCGCCCAGCGTCCGGCTCCACAGCGTGTTCTCCAGCACCTCCAGCATGGGCGCATCGCCCGCCCCCCCCGCCGCGCCCGTGGCGGCCTTGCCCGCGCGCGGCGCGCCGCCCGCGGGTGTGGTCACCTTGCCCAGCATGGCCTTCAGGCTGCTCCGCGACTTGGTGTGCAGGCTCCAGGTCACGTACCGCGTGGTGCTCTGCAGGTCCTCCAGGCACTTGCCGCGGCACGCCGTCTCCGAGTCCTCGATGAAGGCGTGGTAGGCCGCGCCCACGCGCTTGAGGAACAGGTCGTGCCCGTTCAGGAACTGGCCGTCGCGCTGGAGTAGGTGCATGGAGATTGGCAGCATGCGGCGCTGGATGTGGGCCAGGCGGTAGCCCAGCTGGGGAGGGGGGGGATTGGGTTGAACGTTGGGTGATGCGGGACAGAACATGAGAGTCCCCGTCAAGGGGGTGCCCCCATTCCCCCCCCCAGTTTAGCCCCTCAGTCCCACCCCCACAACAAAACACCTGGTGCAGGAAAGGCTCGAAGAGGTCGCGGGCCTTGGACACGGCGATGACGCAGGCGGTGCGCGTGTAATTGACGCCGTCGTGGAAGTCGTCGATGCCGCAGGCGTTGACGATCTCCTCGCGCGAGATGTCGGGGCACGTCATCTCTCCGATGCCTGTTGAAGGTGGATGACAGGTGGGTGGGTGTGGGTGTGGGGGGTGGGGTTGAACGACCCTGAGGGACACCCAAGGGCGGCGTGCAGATCCTCCATGGGCACCCGATGACCCATCGCCACAAGAATGAAACCCCACGAGCACCATCAGCTCACCAGCCCTGAACTCGGCCATGGCGCGGTGGTACTGCGCGCCGCCAAACAGGCGCATGTGGGCGTTGGGCAGCGACCCCTCCACGGCGATGGCCTTGTTGGTCAGGGGGTCCAGGAAGGCGCCGCCGCGCACGTGCTCGTCGGCCAGGGTCTCGCCGAAGCGCTCCGGTGGCGCGGCCACCGTGCCGCGCAGGAGCAGGGCCAGCTTGGCGATGAAGGACTCGCGGAAGACGCGGCCCTTCTCCTTCAAGCGCTCGGGGTGCAGGTCGTTCAGCTCCGCCTGCGTCTCCTCCAGCTTGCGCGCCGCGCAGCGGTACTCCCGCTCCAGCACCGGCACGATGGTGGGCACGTTCTCCAGGTAGCGGCGCTGCAGCAGGTGCTCCGCGAAGCGGCGCAGCTGGCCCACGCCGATGCGGGAACGCTCGCCGGGGCCCAGGCGCCGCCCCAGCCGCGACTCCAGCTCTGTGTGGAGTCGTTTGGGTGGTGGGTGGGGGAGGGGAGGGGAGGTGATTGGGGGGTGTGAAGGGGAGTCGCGACAGTTTCCTCCCCCCAACAACTTATACATGCACAATCTCTGGGGCCCCCCCCCCCTCACCACCCCTTTACAACAAACAAAACAGTAAAAACTCTCTACCTGCCACGTCCAGGGCCTCGCGCTCCGCGACGGCCTGGCGGAAGTGCTCATTGGAGCGGAAGATGGCGTCCTGGCTGTTGCCCACCCGACCCGAGGGCACCGAGGTGAAGAAGGGGGACCCGCCCAGCATGGTCGGCTCCAGCAGGCGGGAGGGGGGGCGCAGGAACATCTCCACGTCCGACGCGCGCGCGAACTGAGGAATGCGCGTGTCCAACTTGGTGGACACCACCACCGTCCTCGTCAGTGCTGGGTCCACCTGGTGGGACAAGAGGAGGGGTGAGGGATTTGGGGCGAGGCACGAAGGACAGGTAGTGTGTCATGGAGCTGTTTGAAGGTGCCCTTGCCATGCTGTCCCCGAGTGATCACCAGAACAGTCTGTATGGCATGCAGGGCTTGGGAGGACACAGCAGGAGAGGGGTCCCATGCAGACCTGGGCCCCCTTCCACATGCCTACTCCCTCCCAAAGGCGCCCGCCCCCTGCCCTCCTCTCAGGACAAAGAAACCACGCGAATGCACATTCCAGGCACTCGCCTGCATGACCAGGCGGCGCGTGGTGGCGTTGCTCCAGTCGTTGCTGTCCTCCAGGCAGAGGATGATGTACTCGCGCTGTTCCATCTTCAGCCGCACCATGGCCTCCACCTGGCGCGCGGAGGTCTGCAGGTTGCTGTTGCGCTTCCCCGGCGCGGCGGAGATGAGGCCCGGGGTGTCGATGATCGTCAGGTTGGGGCAGAACTTGTACTCGATCTTGACCACAATCTCCTTGGACCAGAATTGTCCCTCCCGGTCCAGCCGGGAGTTCTCATTCTCGATGTGGTCCTGGCGGGAGGGGGAGTAAGATGGCAACGTGGCAGTGAACCGACGAGTGGCGGTGCTTGGACGACATGGCTGAAGCAGCAGATGCTGAACGTGGTTGCAGTTACTGTTGCCTCGTCACAGCTAGCTCTCACACTTCTCTCCACAGCACAAAATGCTTATTGCAGGATGGACCCTTTCCACTCCCCAAAGCCCTGTCCACCCGCCAGCTCCCCGCACCTGGAGCTCCTCCAGCGACACGCCCTGCTCCCCAAAGTCCTCGGTGACCAGGTAGCAGTGGGGCTGCACGCAAGCCGAGTTGTACTTCATGTGCAGGGTGATGGGACGTCGAGTCTTGGTGCCCCCGCCCACGTGGTTGAACTGGAAGCCCATCAGCGCCTCCACCAGGGCTGTGGAGGGCAGGATGGGGGGGGGGGAAATATGAGTCGTGGGCTGGGAGCGGCTCGAGTCGTCCGCCTGGCAGTAGGAAAGTGGAGAGAAACGCGCTGCACTCAAGGCATCTCGGCCCAGACCAAGCAGATCTCAAATCAGAGAACCCGGCGCATGCTACCAATTGTAAGCAGATTCTTGATGGCATTCACCGTTGACCCCTGCACCCAGATCACCTCGGACACAGCACCCATACCCCTCCAACACCCACCTGATTTGCCATCGGTCTGGTGCCCCACCACCAGGATGGCAGGGGCATCAAACGGCTTCTCAAAGTCCTGGGCCAGGGCGTGCAGGTCGTTGTATGCCTCGTACAGGCGCTCATTGCCCGTGCGAAAGGCCCGCTCCGACCGGCCGGGGGACATCTCCATGGAGATGCCGTCCAGATGGGAGGAGCGTCCCACGGGTCTGCGCACCGAGGGGGGGGTGCGGTGGGGTTCCTCTGCCTCCGGAGGCAGGCTGGCGTGTGTGTCTTGCGAGGCTCGGGTGAAGCGGGAGTTGGTCGAGGCGTGCATAGCCAGCCAGCGCTCCGCCATGGCTGGTCGCAATCTGGCACGTCTGCCGACCGTATCCTGCCCTTAGCTCAATGCTATATCTTACTGCATGGGCCCTGGTCCGTCTCGCCGCACTTGGGACCCGGCGGGGGTGCCACGCGAATCTGGGGGTCCCCCACCAACGGGTTGGCCCGGGCGACAGATTTTCCGTTCAAATTCCGGCGCGGGAAGTGCGCCCAGGGCGCGAGGAGAGCACACAGGAGGCAGTTTTAACATCCTATCTACGAAAAGGGGCGATATCCATATGTTTTCGTGTGATTGTACATAGAGGGCTACAAATTCAGCGGACTGGCCGCACGAGAGCACTCGCCGGTTGGAGCCCCCTGGCGTCGTCGCCAGGGATGAGTAGACGGAAACACATCACACAGAATTCCCTACAGGAGGAGGTTACAGCACCTGCTGAGAATGAGAGCATAGTTAGGGCAGTGGGTAGCAGAGGCAGCAATATCATGGAGGTGAGGTGACTCGGGTTGCACCTTGAACTCACTTCAGCAAAGTAATTTGGTGGCATGCATGCGATTTCACAGGTGGCCTTAGGGTCTCATTCGGTATCATGTATTCCTTGTTGGGACTGAGGTTACACACCACTCAAACTCAGGTGGAGTTTCCATGTGGGAGGCGGACCTTGTGCCTCATTCCGGCTCGGTTCCATAAGAAGCTGTGGATCAAGAATGGCAACTTCCTCATCGTCGAGGAGGTGGAGGCCATCGATGCGGCAGTGTCTGGACAGATCGTGAAGGTCCTCTACGCCGATCACGTGAAGCAGCTACAGCGCATCCCAGGCGTCTGGTGCGTGGGAAGAATCTGGTCTTGCTTTGAGTGTGCATGTGCATCAATTAGCACTCATAGTGGCTGAGACGGGCTGTTCTCAGCTGGCTCATGCCCTCGTGAGAGAAGCGTCTCACCAAATACGTTGTTGGCTGGCTGCGACATGGTACAATACTCCGTGTGCTCCACTGAGTGTGATCGATCATCCCATTTTCCTGCCTGAGTTGATGCAGGCCAGAGGAGTTTCGGGCAGCTGGTTCACCTGCTGTGCCTGACAACCCCTCCATGGAGCAGGAGAAGAGGGAGGCACGGGAACCCGGCTGCCTGGATGGCAGCTCCAGCGAGGATGATGGGCTCCCACCCCTGGAGCGCATCAACAACCGACGAGTGGTGGAGTACCTCGTGTCTGAAAGCGACAGCGAGTGACGGCCATGCCATGGTGAGACCCTGACGTCCATCCACTGTTTTATGAACAAGTGTCATCACTATTCATTCTTGTTTGCAGCGTGCACCTCCTTGCTCATATTCTTCCTCATCCTCCAGACATGCTGTTTGCATGGTACTGGCCTGCTCCCACGTCAACCCTCGCTCCTGAGGACTCCTGACACCGCCCAGTTGCAACTCAACAGTTGGCAGTGCACAAGGTGTGTGCACATGGCATCCCAGGACAATGAAATTGACAGCGCCAGCATTCACGTTACTGCGGTGCATCACTGGCCTGGTGCCCGCGGCGCCACGGCAAAGTTATCAGTGACCACCTGGAACATGCGTGCCCGGTCGCTGGCATTCTGGGCCGAGCACTGGCAGTTCAGGGTGTACAGGGACTGGCCACTCATGACATATGTGGACAGGTTGGCGCGCTGCCACCTGGGGGAGGAGACCAGGAAGTCCATGGTTGTGTACACGCGCCCAGCGCCATCCGTCCTGCAAGATGGCAGGGTTGGGGGTTGAGGGATTGGGAGTCTGGAGGTGTTGCGCTGGCTGGGTAGCACTGTTGAGTACCACCTGGGGATGGTTGGAGCGGCGCCGGTGCAGGAATGATGGCCGAGGGCAGCTTGCCCATCCAGGCGGGCACCAGGGTGAGTCTTAAAGCCCACTGTGCATGGAGACCCTCCCCACACTCCTCTGAGAAGGGTTCCTCATGCCAGCCTCTGCAGCAAAGCACACCACGATCTACACCTGGTGCGCAGGCTGCGTAGGGCGGCGGTGATTCCGGCCGAGGGCCGGGCGACGACTCTGTCCAGGAAGGCCTGGGCACCCTCCTCGTCTGGAAAGAGCGACTGCGCAGAGTCTGAACTGCTGGGCCCCACCCGGGAGACAATGACGGAGATGTTCTCCTCACCAGTAGTACCCCGCGGCCCAAAGGCCACCACAGGGCCGCGGGAGGGCCTGTGTGGTGGAAGAGCGGGCGTAGGCACATGCCTTTCAAAGGCCGGCAGACAGCAGACAATGCAGGATGAGATGCTGGTACCTCTCCCCAGATGCGGGGCATGTACCCCGTAGCAGGGCCTCAGAGAGATAGGCACCCCCCTCCCACCCTCCTCACCTCGGCGCCAGGCCCAGCGGTGGCAGACCGGGGCTGGGTCGCTGCCAGCTGGCGTCCTCGGCCAGCCTGCGGCGGACGGAGAGGTCCGCGCTCCATGCGCTGGGGAAGACCAGCTCGAACCCCGCGGCCTCGTCTCGCCAGCGCTGGAAACCCTGGATGGGGTAGATGGTGTCCAGGCGCAGGCTCCTCGCGGTGTCGGGGAAGAAGGAGAGGATGGCGCTGGTCACCCCTGAGAAGTTGGCACCCAGGGCCTGGGGAAGGGGGAAGGGCATGGGTGTGCAGACCTGGAGCACCGCTTGAGCGGCAAATGGCAGCAGAGTTTTGTGCAAAACCACGCATGAGCAAAGCTTCTGAATACCGTCCAGCCCTTGCGCACTTCAGATGCTTACCAGGGCAGTGGCAGTGGACCCCCCGAGCAGCAGGCGTCTGGAGAATTGGGGCCCTCCCCTCCAAACCCGTGCCTGTCTGGCAGCCGTTTCGGCTGCAGACTCTGGGAGATCGTGATGTTGCACGAGGAACATTGGTGTGCAGCGTCGATCTCGCAGGCATGCACTCATGCACGGTCATATGGCGCACTTACAACCAAACCTGTGCAGTGCCCTTGTACCCCCAACCATCCTCCCCATGCTACCTGGTGCAGAGCTGGGAGGATCGCTGCCCGTCTGTGCATGGATGGGGCTTGCTAGTCTGCTTCCTAGGCGACAATGTCGCGCGCGAGGTCTGGCGTGGATGGCACCATCCCTCCCATGAGATCGGCAACATGCATGTTGTTGGCCATGTGTGGAGATCAGCATGCGCCCCACAGTCCTTCCCTCCTGTCGTGAGGATGCTCCGTAATGTGTTGTGTGAGCTCTCATGCGCGAGTACCAGAGCATTCGAAATGCCGTGCAGTTGCCCGGCCGGAGCCTTCTGATCGCTTGAATGGTGACCGGGGCGGGACGGGCGATCGCACGTGGCTTTCGCAGCCGTTCCCTGCGCACCAGCATGCACCACCCATCGATGGGATACCATGCACGGCACCGGTGACCCCATGGATGAGAGTTCCTTGAACAACAGGCTCACACATGCAGACTCGAATTCAGCACAAGCAACGGGAACTGGATACTGGTATGATGTGTTGAAACAGCACCGGTGCCCCATTACAACTAACAAGTGAATGCAATGATGGATTCCTTCAAGCCTTTGACGCGGCCAACACTGTTTGATACGAACGCAGTCCTCGAGACTACACTGCCACCTCACATGCGTGCCGCTGGCAGCACCAGCCCCCCGCCCATGGGCGGGACGAGGTTCCGGGTAATCCGGGTAAT